AAAGTCAACTTGATATCGTTTTTGACGCTTGCTTGATAGACTCACTACGTTTTCTTTTGCTCAAGTAAAGGTGATAATAGTGCTGATTGCTCATTTTTTTTCATTTGCTTTACTTCTTGCTCTTTGAAGATGTTTGTTTATGTGAGTTGCTCATATTCTTTTCTATTGTTCACCTTCTTCAACTTCCGGTCACTGATGTTTTGAGAAAAGAAAACACTGAAAAATTGACTAAAAATCAAATACGTTCAATGCACTTTCCGCCTTTGGAACTCGTTCCGAGCATTTGCTGGTACCATTGACATTCAAATATACAGATAGAATGTCTGTCTTTAGCTCTACTTTTATTGATGGTCTCAATTTCGTCGTTTTAGTTAACAAAAGCTGAATTTTTATGGAACTGATAAGGAAATTTTGCAGCTGTTGGCTTATCAGTTAAAATGGAAAGTGTCGTCGGGGAAAACTGTTATAGAACATCTCTTTATTGATTTTGAAGAAAATAATTTTTTTATCTTTGCTGTATTGCTGCTAAGTCTTTTATTTTTATTTACCTTTACTTCTTTAGCACTAATTTTTCGGTAATTTTACAGTTGATAGATGTGGGTGTGATGTTTTTTTTTGATGATGATAAGTTAATTTTTTTTTGAAATTTTTTACCAGGTACGTCTTGGGAAAGATGTTTGTTCGCTAAAAAGCGACATGAAAAAAAGCTTTTTTGAAAAGTTATTGAGGTATGTTATATGGGGACACCCACCGAGTGTAAAAAGTTTCAATTTATGCTCAACAATCAAAAAGATGATTTTTTCCTCCATATTGTTTCAAGCTGTTAATGAAGGTGTTCAATTTTTTGTTTGTTAAATATTATCGTTATGCTACTGAGTTCACATCATTTTATAACCATCAAAAAAAGCACCGAAAAACCTTTTCGACATTGGCTTTAGTACCCGTTTTCTTTTCAACTTTTGAAGTTCAACATTTTCGGCTGAGGTAAAAACACTGAGCGATAATAAAAGACAGTTATGCTTAGATTTTGAGAGGAAACGGAAATGGCTGAAGCAAATTTTTGAACTCTTTAAATTTGTCTAATAATGATTTGGAATATAAATAACAGCAGAAAAAAGGATTATAAGAATTTAAATGAATTTTTACCCAGGAAATTTATTTTATTCGATGGCAACAGAGCGACAAATATTAGCATTTAAGTGTAAAAAGTTTTTAACTGCTTTCTATTACAGCCTCTTCACTTTATTCGCTGAAATACTTATTTGTTTGAGCACTGGTCAAATTGTAACGCTGTTTTTTAGATATATGTTAAGAATAAGAATGATGCGAACATTAAAATAATTGTTATTAATCTTTTAAATTGTCTGTTCTGTGAAGACTGCCCACCTGAGAGACAAGGAGAGGGTAACAAAAAGCAACAACATTTCTAGCCGCTTCGATGTTACAAATCAATGTTGCTAGAGATCATCGTAGGAAGGGTAGCTTATTAGAGGCGACCAAAAAGCAGCCTAGTAGCATCTTTACTACCTTGTTGCCTGTCTTCTTCTTCTCTTGACAATCGGTCATCTGATGACTTTAATTTTTTTTAACAACAAACAGTTTGGTAGTCTCTGTACTTTGAATTGTATGTCAAGGAGTTTGTTCCCTCTTAAGCACTGAAACAAAAGCATAACCAAACCAAAGGGTTCTACTTAGAAGGCTAAAATCAGCATCAACATTGGAGAGATTAAGAGGTTCAGTAGGCAGCGTAACGGTATTTGTCTAAAATATGCTTTTCACTGCAATTAGCGTCTGTAAACAGGGAAAGAGATCGGTATGTGACCCACATAGCAGCAAAAGCAACAGCAACAGCACCACCAGCAGCACCACCATTTTTGAGGATCGATACGGTACCAAAGTTTGCTGAACGGCAACGGCTGTTGTTGCTGTTGGTTTCTGCTTCTATGCTTTGATTGAGACTTCAATTTAGCTTCATTTTACAACAGCTATCTAATTATTTGATTCGGTTTCGTATGGTTCCGTCTCGTTTCATTTTTCCCGGTTTAGTTCAAGAAAGTTTTTTCGTTTCTATTTATGTTTTTTTCGGCTTTTGTCCACCTTTTTTTTTCTGTTCAAATTTTCTGTTTAATTACAGTTGCAAAAAAGAGCATTGGTACATTGTTATCAGTTGAACAGAGTTTATGGCGCATAAAAAAAAAAGCTTTTATTTTCTGTCAGATACTAGCCTATTTTTGATTGTTTTTATTGACTCTAAATTAAATTACAGTTTTTTCTCTCTTTTTTTTTTTGTTTAAACATTTTTTTCTTTGAACAGTGTATATCTGTCTATTGGCACAAAAAAAAAAAAGCCATTTTTTTTTATCATCATTAGTTTTACCTTGCTTTTTTTTCTCTCTAGTTTTCCGTTATTTTGTCTTTTTTTTTCTTTTAGTGAATAAATTGTCATCAGTGCTGTAAAGCTACTTTTTTTCTCACTTTTTTTTAGCAAGGAGAATTTTGTGATGTTACCAAAGTATAGTGTACAGGCGGTTAGTTTTGTTTGTTTTAAATTTTAAGAACAATTTTTTTTCCCAAAAAGAAAAAAATTTATTAGTTCTTTTAGTTGTGGGCAATTTTTCCTGGCCATAAACCGTCTTTATCGTCTTTTTTAAATTTTAACCAGGGGAGAAAAAAGGAGCAAAAAAAAAAAAAAAACAAATTTTCTGATTCTTGTTGTTTTTCTAATTGAGTCATCATCATCATCGTCATCGTCCTATCGGTTTGCGTGCATATAAATGGGACGATATGAGAAGTGAGTGAAGAAGTACCGTAGAGCACATATATAGTTCTGTGTGCAGTTACAACAGTGATGGCAATGCACTGCACTAAACTACCATTTTCCTAACCTTGCTTTGGGGCATTTTCAGTTTTAAAACTTCAATGTATCATTACGGCAAAGAAGTGCTGCTACTGCTGTTGACACCGGCAGTTATTTAGATTTTAATTATTAGTACTATTTTCCTGGTGTCAACATATTTTCCCGTCATCAGTTCATCTTTTATAATTAAACAAATTAAGACGATGCATAGTTGTTACCAGTATACCATTGTAACCTTTATGTACAGCTAAACTAAAGTCATTTATCCAAATTCTTGTTGTTTGACTGTTGCTAGTTTCAGAGCACTGAGAAAAAGTTGAGGTCGGTGGCAATGGAGAAATGTGTACCAGCAGAGTATACTAGCAGTCCAATTGTAGATATTTTAGCATCATCTGTTAACGATAACGTAAGCAGCATTAAAATTGTTCAATGTTTTTTTTTCTTTTATAATTTGTTCTACAGTAACAAATGACTACAGTCTGCATAAATGCTACATTTTTTTTTCGCAGCTATTGAACTTTAGTTGTACTATACTTTTTACGACAAAGAAATTAATACAGATTAAAAAACATTTATTTCTTATGCATTTATTCATCACTTATAGCATCCCCGACCTCCGTCATGGTTTGATCTTGGTTTTACCGGTCATACCTCGAATGCGAATCGAGAAAGACGTTCTGGTCGTTGTGCAGATGTTATTTGTGAACAGGTAATGTTTGTAAATTTATAATATTAAATGAAAGGCAAGAAACCTTTACTTTGATCTATTACTTAGTGTTGGTTAAGCTGTTATAATCATTATAACTTTTAATTCGGTTTTTTCGGGCGTTTAGTTCTCCTTATTTGTCGTCTTAATTTCTTTTTCTGTCTTTCTACTCTGTTTTTCATGGCAGTTTAATTTAATTATCATTTTCGCTCACTCTCTGTCTTTTATAAACTTAAAATTTACAATTTTTTTTACAGTTTATGGAACAATTTTTTTTATACGTGAATTCTGAGGGAAAATCTTTTCTCACATATAATGATCACATGAAAAAATTTTTGTTTTGCAACATTAAGCTATGGCAAATAACTAACTGGTTGTACTAATGTCCCGGCTTTTCACCCTTGTTTGACTGTTATGTCGTTTGAAAGCTCTCAGTAGACTGTCTGTAAAGTTTATAAAGCAAGGTGAAGCTTGATAAACGGAATATGCACCTCGGGAAACCTATGTTGATTGTTAATAATCTATCGAGCTTTAGTTCATTCTCTCTAGCACTCTAAAGATATTGATTTTTCAACAGTACAGTCTTTAATTTTTTTTTTTTTTTTATTTTTCTTCTGTAGATTTTGAGAGGGTGAAAAAAGTGTCCCTCTGTTGTACTGTCTTAATCTTTAATGAGCGTAAACTAACAACAGCAGTCTTTTGACAGCTTTTTTAAATTTGCTGCGTCGTCAAGGTTCTTGTCATTAACATTGCGAAAACAGTTTTGGTCTTTTATTTCTCCTTCTATTTTACTGATAACTAGGTGTGAAATTATGTTTTTCCAATGATTTTTACAATGATTTAGAGTCACTTCTTTGTTATTCTTGCTTTTTTTCATAGATTTCTAAACTGTTTTTCAATTTTTTAAATCTCGTGTTTTTTATCCTCATTGTTATTAGGCAAATTGGAATAATAAGCAAAATCTTTAGACGTGTAAAAAAGTGAATGTAAGAGAAGAAAACATTGAGTGCAAAATGGTGGAAAAACGAGAAGTAGGATTGTTGGAAAGGATTGTTCGAAGCCATCCGATATGGTATTTACAGCATATTGGTCGTCCAGCAGCTACTCATCTGCTCCGAAACATGGAAGAAGGAGTACGTGAACAAATATTTCTCATTTCATAAGTGCTCTTCAAAGCGCTTATTAATCTTAGGTTTTTCAGCTTTTAACTGTACTCTTGAACCCTTTTGTATCTTAAAAAAAACTGCATGTTGATACTTAAATGTTGGATACCGATGTCATAGCTTAGTGACTGAATAATCATTCCTTCTCCAGGTATTTATTGTTCGTGCATCTTCTAAACGTAATGCTATGGCATTGAGTATTCGCCTGCCGGTTGGGTATGGCTTAGATACCGACCATTACCTAATCGAATCTGCTGATTCTGACAAAAGTGTTCGGCTTGAATCTTCTCCAAATACATTCACATCGCTTCCTCTGCTTATTGAGCATTACTGCTTAAATGGGTAAGATATTCATTTAGTAAACTATGTTGCTACCTCAGACTTTTTTGCTTCATTTTCTTTCATCAATAAATAATTGGTTGCAAGTGAGGTGTGGTTATAGACGTTTAAATACACTTGCTTATACCACTAAACCAAGTTTTTCTGGACAAAAATTCTTGATGCTAGCAATTCTATTTTTTTAGTTATTTTTGCAGAAAAAACTAAAAATCTTCACTTTTTTCAAAATAACTTCTTTCATAAAGGCGAGAGTTATTTGTTGTTGGGAATTTTCAAGTGGTGAAACTGTGTTGTCTATTGATAGGCTTAACAAATATCTTATTTTTGGTTGAATAATGTATTTATGAGGTAAGGAGGCTAGTGCTGCAAGAAGGTTTCACCTTACAACGAAAAATTGAATCGAGGCTTTAAAAGCCAGTTGGATATGCTAGCTTTGTTTACCTATGGTGTTTAAATTGGAAGAGCTGCGAGAAGATCCACTTCAGCTAAAAATTTTTCAAGTTTAATGCTACATATAAGATGACATTTAATTTATCGTGAACAGTGTGAAGCTTAATTTCAAAGTTTTGAACAACCAAAAAATTAATTGTCTTATACCAACCACAAGGTGCTGCTGTAGTAACGTCGTTATTTGATCAGCTAAATTATTTCAATTTTCTTTAATTTGTGACTGCATTCAGTTTCATGTATGTCTTTCAAAAATTTTTATTTTGGTAAATTTTTGTGCTTTTACAAAAAGCTACTAGCTTTAATTCCAACAACTGCACTCAAATTTTTGTTGTAAGGCATACTTATGCGAATAGTCTAGAGTCTTATTTGATTTTTCAGAGGGTTTAGTTTTTGGAAAGTGTTTTAAACGATGCAGGAACATAATTTACTTCTTTTTTAATGCTTTTCTCAGGTTAGTTTCGCGCAACTGAAAAATATAAACTTAGCTATGATTGTATACTTTTCAGTGAAGAACTTCAAACACGATTACGTCTGCCATCTGCAATTACAAACTGTAGGACAAGTTTGGAGCTGCAGAGTTTAGCGTTAATGGGGCAAGGTAAATTACTATTTATTTTCAACTTTACTTTATTCTAGATTTTTTTGTGGTAAGTAACTGTCACACTAGAGCAAAACCTTGCATTATTCAAGTTTTTTTTATTACTTATCATTAATATCATTGAATATGTGTCTTTTACTTTTATTTCTTATTTATCTTCATTTAATCTTCGTATTTTCTTGTATATCTTAATTTCCCTTTTTTTTACGAGCTGTTTTACAAGACCATTATGATGTCTATACGTATTTTCATTAATCTATTTCAAGAATTATCAATACTACCAGCAATGTTTTTGTTTCAATGATTTTCTGCTTTGCGTGAAATTTTGCGCAGAAGATGTACAGACAAAAATTTCTTTACTATTTATGGTTCAAATGGCAGTTAATCAGTAGTTAATTATAAAACAAACAGACAGTCGATGATTGCAGAGACAGACAGTGTCAGTGAACAACAACGATTAGTTAACTTTAGGGTTATTTAACTTTTGTCAATTGGACGATAAAATAGTATCGGAGGTATTTAGTGTTGGTGATAAAAATCAGATTGTTTTAAAAGTTTATTTGGGTGACTTTAGAGATACCAGTCACTAAAAAGAGTTATTTTTTTGCTTAAGTTTTCTTTTCGTCTTAGTTTATAAATTTTTAATCTTTTAAAATAACTGATGTCAGTCACTTTACAACAGCAGAAAGGCAGCAAGTTTTGAATCATTAACCATCATTTGTTTCGTTTTGTATATTTTGCTTAATGATAATTACTGCAAATTTGGACAAAGAGGTGTAATATTTATGTATTTGTGTGCGTCTGTGATTAGTGGGGTGTCGGAGAAGACAGTGGGTTAAGGGTCGCATGCGCTAGTATTGCACCTGTCGTTGTAGTTAATTAGTAACCATGCGGGCTCTGGTTGATCCGTGGCGCTTGTTGCCTGCGTATTGGCGGGTGAAGGACGATGTGCTTGGACGGTGCCCAGTCGATCAGTGTAACGTATCCGTCCAATTGGCAATGGGATTTGAAAACCGCTGTACAGCCAGCACTCATATGGGCCCAGATCTGTTGTATTTTAATGGTGTTGGTGCTGTTCTAACTGTTTTTTGTTTGCAACTACATTAATTCTCGACATTTTATGCTTTTGATACTGCTTACTTCTTTTTTTGTTGAGTGGGGCTAAACCGTTGCCTATCTGAACCATAATTACTGCACATTCTTTTATCTTCTATTAACCTCTTTCTTTTGTTTGCTCTCCAGTTCATTTTTTACACCAAAAAAAGATTTTTTGACAGTTAGAAATATTTCTGTATTCATTCTGTGATTGATTTTTAGCGATTTTTTTCTTTTTCTATTTTGCATACGTCTACCAGTCGATAAATACATAATTCGTGGATACAGTTTTTGATAGGGCGCAAAATAGAAAAGACACCATCACTAAGTTTTCTCATCTGTCGGTTTTCTTCTCTGAAACCATATTTTTTCTTCATTTCTTTTATGATTTCTTCAAACTTTGGAGTTTGACAAAGTAAAAAAGATTCTTCTTCTCCTTTATAGTGTAGAAAAGTAAAGATAATTAAATGCAAATTTGTATTTCTGATAATTTAAGTCATTCATGAAGACTTCAGCAGTGGGCAAATGTGATGAAGGATAGTAGTCAAAAAATACCCTTTTTTCAGCTATATTCAAAAGCTTTTAATTATAAGCGAGAAACTGTTTGTAATCTTATGCTAATGTTACTTCAGTGACCTATTTGATGTTATGAGTGTTCATACTGTTTTTTTGTGAGCATCCGTTGCTATTAACCAAACCGACTTGGTGACTAAATTTTTTTAACTCGTTAGTTTGATAATGTCAATTTTACTGTGTTTGGGTCATCTCTCTCGTTTTCGATTGCTCTTAGCGTTTATATTTTGCGCAGATTTTTAAATTATTCTATAACTCCAAAGGCTATCAAATCTATCGGTTGTTTTGTCGTTATTTCCTTCTCTATAAATCACTTTACCGAAGGTTCTCAATAAATAATTCAGAATTTTTGTAGTGCAGTTTTAACTCAGTATGTTTATAATAGGTTATTTTTTTCTCCTTTCAAAAATTTGTCGTACTGAACGAAGGCTTATAGGTTTTGTCTATTTTTTTTATTTGGGCACTTAGCATTCTGCGTAGGTTTTATTGGTTGCAATCATTTTATGCATTTTCAGCTGCTTAAATTTTTTTTTTTTGTTTATTGTTTAGCAGAGACATTTTATTTTACTTTTTTTCTGTCAATTTCAAATGATGGATGCATTTTGCGTTGAAAAATATCATATTGGACGTTAGATGAGTTACCAACCCCTTATTTGCTTTCACATTAAACTCAAAAATTAAATAATGTGTTCATTGCTGTTCATTTAATGCTCACTTAATAATTTATTGTATTGCGCTGAATAGTGTGTTAAGAAATGGTGTTGTAAATTTTAACAAAAAGCACTTCTGCAATACTGTGCGTGTGACGGTGTAGGGAAATATGGTGAGCAAAAAGAACTTTTGAACAAAGAAAGATTAAAAAAGTTACTGGTGACAATTTTATGTTACAATAATCTTTGACATACCTGTTTTTGACATTTATTAAGTTGTTCTTTTTTTTTTTTTAAACAAAGCTGTCAGTAGTTATAGTGGTTATTTCGACTATTACTCATCGTTATGAATCATATTGTTCTTTGAATATTGATTCAAAGCCTTTTCTGTATAAAATTTTTTAATTTTAAGGCATGAAGTGTAAAAAAATGGTAAAACAAAGTTTTCTGTTTATTTCTCTATCAGTTATAAAATCTTAATTAGAAGACTACGATGCAGAGCCTATTGACGAAGTAATAGAAAGTTTGCAGAATTGGGGATTAACGTATAGTGTACAAAAATTGCCAACAGCTGATGTCATAAAAATTAGGATAATTAAGAATGCTGTGTTTTATTTTAAGTATTGCTGATGACGTAATATTATTTTACTTGCTCGAGCAGTTAGCAGAAAAAGAAAGAAGACTTTCCTATAATCACCATTTTGCTAAAATAGGTTATTGGTTGAGTATGTTATTTATTGAATAGTATAATTGAAATTAAAATCTTTTTAGTTTTGTTAGTTTAACGGTACTGTTGCTGGAAGAATTAATTTGAAGAAATTTTGTCTTATTCGTCTTGAAACTTCAAGAAAATTGTTAAGACAAAAACAGCGGATTGATAGATGTTGTTAGATGTCATATCTGAGATAGGCTTTGAACGTTGGCACATTGGCAGTTTTTTCGTTTACTGTCACAATAGTTTTCTGTTATTTTTGTTGTTGTTGTTGTTGGTGGTGGTGTTGAAAAATCTGCTTTTGATATTATTGATTTTATGGTACATAATTTTTGGTTCTGTCAGTTTTTTTTGCATCTGCTGTATATGTGTTACAAAGATGGGAAAATTTAAATGGAAATTTGCATTTTAAACGTTGCTGCTATTCCTTTAGAATTATCAGCATAGGTAAAACTGGCATCGGAGAATGTTTACGTTTGCTAGTTTTTTTTTTGCTTTCTTTGCTTTTCGTACTTGATTCATTCTTTTTCTTTCTTTTGTTTTTGACATTTTTCGTCGCCAAATGAGTATACGAAACTGCAGTTGGATAACTATTTATCTAATAGTTCTACAAGCTGCATTAGCTGCTGCTTTATTGGACAAGTTTTATTATTTACTTTTCGTCCACCTTTTCCGGATTTTAGTTAGCTGAGCTGAGAATTGCGACTTCATTCGGCAGCTACCAATAGTTCACCGTAAGTTCTGGTTTTGTTTTGTCTTCCCTCGTCAAGCGACAACAGCATTCAGACAACTCATTTTTGTTGATTATACTGTTGTTATTTTTGTTGTTATTATAACTGATTGAAGAAGTGGTTGAACTTGAAAATTTAGTGCAAAAAAGCTACTTAGAATGCAAAAAAAAAAAAATCTTTATCGTTTTTACGTCCAGAATAATTCCTTGAATGTGCTTAGTTATTTTATTTGGTCTAAAATTTGTCTTGATGTTTTTTTTTTTTTTGCTAAGTCGGGCGCTGGATGAGAAGAAAAGGCATCTGGTAAACGTTGTTGTTTGGGAATCGTTTAGTTCGGGCACTTTTTGCAGCGGATATTTCAGTGGATTACTACGCTGTCTAAGAGGGGAATGTATTTCCGTTGTCATTTTAATTCTGTATTGCACAGTATATTAAATTGCTTTATTTTTATTTTATTTTATTTATTTTTTTCTTTTCTTTTCACGGTAAATTTGTCATTATCACGGTTCCTTTGTCTTGTTGCTCTCAGCCCATTAAGAATTATAGTATACTAAATGTTGTGAATGCGTTAATTTTTTTTTCATTTTCAGAATATGGTAGTGAAAAAAAAAA